CAGCGCGTCGTAATGCGCCGCTGCTGAGCACCGGCAGTTTGTTGGTAAACAGACGCCCGGGCTGGGAGGGTGCCGCCCGGAGCCCAGCCTGCCCCGCACGCGTGCGGCGCGCACGCCCCCGCTGGGTGCCCTCGTCCTGGCACGCCGCGACCGCCGCGACTGCGCCTCACCGCCCCCCGTGCCGGCTTCCGCTTCCGGCAGGGGCCCCAGTTTGGTTGCGACACCGCAGCTCCTACAGGCCCCTGAGGCTGCAGGAGGGATCCGTTGTCTGGGCTTTTGCCCGTGCGGCGCTCCGCCTTTCCTGGAACCGCATGAGGTTGAAGCCTGGCATGAACCGGGGCAAAATCCGGGAGTGGGACATGAGTCTACTTTGATGGCTCCTGGGAGGGCACAGGAAAGACGGCAGACCTGTCTCCCTGGCCGCATTTTCCAGACGGTGTGCAGGACCTGTCTCTAAACATTATTGCCTAAGGCCTAGATGGACACGTGTCCATACAAGCATCTGTTACCACATGTACACAACTACACGGGGACACCATTTAAATACAACATATATACTCGCATTACACTAATATTCAAGTGTCTACACCGAAGTTCACATTAGCATCCCTATATGAAAGGAGAGGCTCGTTTATGGATCTGCAAACACACAGTTTAGGCTGTATATTCCCTGCACACTCAAAGATGAATAGCAATAGTCCTGAACAAAAGCAGTATACTTCCCTCTTATACAGACCCATGAGTATACAAAGTCAAGTTACTGGTGTGCATGCTGGAAAACACAGAAAATCTAAGCATATGAACATTTATACACGTGTACCTACCTTATGAGAGATACCTGTCCACACACATCTAAGCTGCTTCACGTTGGGGGAGAGAGGGTTCCATCCCCAAACCCACCAGTCTTTACAGATTCTCCACCATACCCACATACCTTTTTCCCACTTGAGTATGCAACTTGTACACACATATATGGCCTCATTATCAGGGCTCAGAGTGAAGGTAGCAGTCTCAGAATTGGAGGATGGGAGAGGACCAGAATCAGCGAAAGAGGGAAGCCTGGAAGAGTAAGAGAAGGTACAGGGGGCGGGCGGGGGCAGGCCCAGGCCTCCTTGGAAAAACAGAGAATCACAGAGGTGTGCAAGGGTGGTTGAAGCCCACACTCAGGTGTCCAGCAGAGAGGAAGAGCAAGTCTGCTTCAAACTGGGCTCCCCACTGGAATGGATAGAGAGTTTTTCCAAGAAAACATTCCTCTGGCATCTGGCTTGGAGCTCTTCATTCTAAAGTCTTGGAGCTCTAAAGGAGCTCTGTACAGGATCCCCCTCCTCTAGGTGGCTGGAGAACTTACTGCACTCTTATCCAACAAGGTATGGAGAGTTTGCTCTGTAGAGAAATGCTATTTTCATGCGGGACCACCTTTCCCACTTTTTAACCCAACTCCTGCCATGCCACCACCTCCTTAAGCTGGGGCTGTGAACCTATATGGATATATTCTTCCAAACCTTTGTACCACCATTATCTTCCTCTGGAGGGAGGTGGCCACACAGCAGTGCTGGGGTGGGGTTCCAAGGACAGCTTCTTTGGGTGCATTGAAAGAAGAGAACGCTCTTAGGGGTGGGGTTTGCTGCCAGGGAAGGTTTCACAAAGGAGGTGCTTTGAGCTGGAATTGAAAGGATGAGCAGAAGAACCTCCTCCCGGGGTCTGGTACCCAGAGTCTTTTCTGTGCTGGACCTAGCAAAGGAGGGCAGGGGTGCATTTTCTGGCTAGCCTCTGCAGTAGCTGGCTTTGGACATCCTCCAAAGTCACGAGATCTATAGTGAATGCCTCTCCTAAGCTCTCAGAGGGCTGCTCAGACTCATGCAGGATCCTCACCCCTATGCAGCAGCAGGAAACAGCCTGCAGTTCTTTAGATTTATCAAACACAGTATCCAAGCCTGTGCATATTCACACACACACAACAAAAACCCCAACAAAACAACAACAAAAACCCTGTGAAGTAGGTATGATTATCATGCCTATTTTATGAATGAGGAAACATCTCCCTCCACCATCACCTCCCTCTTTGGAGCTCCCTTTTGCCACACTCTAGAGAGTTGGGGCTGGGACACCAGGTTGGGAAACCTTGGGGTCTCTTCAGATTCACACTCCCCAGGAAAGTATCTCTTCTGACAGTAGCGCCACCTCACCAGCCTCAGGAAAGGTGGAAATCATGGGGATGGGTCTAGAAAGGGCAGTAGTATTGTGTTTGATCAGAAGGGAGAGCTGGCCTGAGAGGCCTGAGGCCTGGGTTCTCGCCCCAGCTCAGCCATTTCCCTCTCTAAGACTAGTTTATCTAGAAGGGATGAAAGGAGGGAGCTGGACTAAGACGTCCAAGCCTTTGGTCATTTGCTTTCAGATGAATTGCTAAAACCAAAATTTAAAAATGTAATAAAACCAAGAAGAAGAAAGACGGGAATTGGTGGAGCAGGAAAGGAAGGAAGGACGGTCGTAAGGAAAACAAAACAAAACGAATTAACTCTCTCCAGTCACTACCAATATCTCAGTCCCTGGTTTGTCTGAAAAGCCAGAAGTGGCTCTCCCAGCTCTTTCCCACGCAGACCCTCTCCCTTAGGGAAAGGGGCAAGCTTGGAGAATTACAGTACCAAGGCGACGCTCTGGGGCAGATCTCGGGGTCCAGAACGGAGATACTGCGCCACGGAGGGTCTCAGGGAGTCGGCCAAGGAGGCGTTGGGCGTTTGGACTCGGTTGGCGCGGTGCACGGTAGTTTGCCGGCTCTTCGCCGGTAGCCTGGCAAACGCCATCCCACCCGATCCGGTAACGATTCTTTGTGCCGCATAAACACCGTGGCAGTAGGATGTATTTTTCGCTCGAGGTCACCCTGAGTTCTGATCCTTCTCATATCGGAAACTACGTCCGAACCAGCACCCCTTCCTGGAGGCTCGTCGCTGGCACCCCAAACACACGGTGGGTGCGCAGGGCTCTTCACACAGGCACTGGGCTCCATATGGTGCCGACCGCACGCTCCTGAGCAAAAGTTTTCGTCTGCGCCTGGAGTGGGGCGCAGAGATCTATAACCCAGTAGACTCCCAGAGAGGTACCTGCACGGATCTGGCCGGGAGAATAGAAATTCGCCCGCGACCCCAGTCCTCGGCGCTCCTTGGCGCTCAGCGACAGTTCCGGGATTGTCTCCCACCCACGCTCCCCAAACGAAATTTTAATTTAGTTTTATCTGTTCTTAGTGGATTTTAAATTCGATTTGGCAGGGCCTTTCTTAGTAACTTGGTTTGGGGAAACTATTGAATAATTAGGTTTGGCAGGGAGGTGGGGTGTGGAGGGTTGAAAGGAGGGGTGCTGGGTGCGCTGTGGATAGAGCCCCCACAGTCAGCGAGGCCTGAGACCCCCTCCGTCTGACTTTTCCTGAAATCTGGAATTACTGTGCCTCCTTTTTTCTTTCTGATCGAACATTTAATGAGCGCTGGCACAAGCGGGGCGGCGGGCTGGTTGCGGAGGCCACCGCGAGCCGGGCCGCGCGCTTCGATTTGCGCTCAACTTCACGTTCCCCTGGGAGCTTTCTCCGTGATTGGAGTTCCCGCCTTATTTTCCAAATAACTCCTGGGGGAGGGGGAGGGGAGAAACCGGAGTCAGTGTCACCTTGACCCAGGCACCGCTGGGCAGTGGGGCTCCGCACGAGGGTCTCCCGCTGCGCCCTCAGTGACACACTCCCGACTCTTTCGCTTTACTTGCAAATTTCAGCCTCTGCTCCAGGAAAAGTCTTCTATTTGAGATTGATTGGGACGTTTTAGGTACACATATATAAGAAGTTACCACATTAAAAAAAACAAAAAAAACCTACGAACAATTCTTGGACCCGGAGTCCCCACCCCACCCCCAAAAAGAAAAGAAAACGGTCCACAAAATCTGGGGTTGGCTTTGGGCTTGTGTCGGAGGCACCCTGCATGGCGAAGTGGCCACGAGGCGCTGAACTTTGCCCAACGCGCGAGCGGGAAATGGCCCGGGTGGGGGGCGCGTAGGCGCCGGGCTCTG